CCCCCCCCCCCCCCCCCCCCGCCCCGTCGAGCCGGCCGGCTCTGCAGCCACCAGTCCACCTACTTCTCTCCGCCGCTCCCCCTCTGTTCAGGCGTCTGTCGCCTCCTACCTGCACTGTGGCATTGTCCTACCTGAGGTGCCCCCACGCGCTCTGGCTGCTCTGCTGTGGGCCTTGCACCGTGGCCAGTGGGATGTTTGAAGGTGCACATCAGATCAGGACACTGCTGCGGAAAACTGGCCAGTTGCCCACCTCTTGCAGGATCGGCCCCAGATCCTCGTCCAAGCCCCGGAGATCTGGCCCTTCCGACCTCTCCCTCCCGTTCAGTACTCTTCACAGGGCCCTTTTCCTATTCCTTCTACATACCAAGCCCTGGAGGGGTGGGGGGGGGTGGTCCTTGTCCTTAGTCTTCTTTCTGCCTGGGCTTCTCTTCTCCGCCTGGCTTAGTCCAGTAAACTCTCCTCCGTCCTCTAAACCTGGACTCAAGTATCACTTCCTTGGGTCGCATCCCTGGGCTCTGACTCCTCCTCCAGGCAAACTCCCCACTTTTGTCACCCTGTGCACTTCTCCTTCATGACACTCGAACAGTTGCAGTTTTCCTTTTATTTGTGAAAGTATTAATGTCTGTCCCTCCCATCCAGATAGTAAGGTCCAGAAGGCTGTGTCTGGTTTTGCTCCTTGTGTCTCCCGCATCTTGCACAAGGACCAGGCACCGTAAATATTTATTAAATCAGGGAGTGGAGGACTTGGCTTTGACAGGAGGGAGGGGGTGTGAATCACGGTACCTGCCGGCCTGTCAGGGGGGAGAAAGAAACCAACGTTGGAATACTTCCTGTGTGGCGAGCTCTGTGCTAGAGTCATGTTCGATGTCCAACAGAAATACAATGCACTAGGGTTCCTGAGTGGCTCAGTCGGTTAAGCTTCCGACTTCACCTCCGCTCATGATCTCGCGGTTCATAAGTTTTTGTGAGTTCGAGCCCCGCGTCGGGCTTTGTGCTGACAGCTCAGAGCCTGGAGCCTGCTTCAGATTCTGGGTCTCCCTCTCTCTCTCTGCCCCTCCCCCGCTGGCGTTCCGTCTCTCTCTCCCTCTCAAAAAGAAAGAAACATTAAGAAAAGAAGAAAAAAATACGATGTAGTGCATGTAATTTAATTTTTTTAGTAGCCACATTAAAAATGAGTAAAAAGAAACAGGCGAAATTAATTTTTAGAACACATTTTACTTAATATATTCCAAAATAATACTATTTTGACACATAACCAATATAAAAACACTATTAATGAAATAGTTCACATTTTTGCGGGTGTGCTAAGTCTTTGAAACCTCGTGTGTGTTTTCTGCCTGCGGCCAGTCCATTTCAGTGTGAAGGGCTCATTTCAGTTTCCAGGGCTCAGGGTACACAGTACCTGAGCAGTACTGTGGTAGGAACTGCCGTATTGGGCTGTGCAGTTCTAGAAGCTTTGCCTACCTGTGGCATTTAATCCCGTTTACTTTCTTCTAAGGTAGTTATTGTCTGCATTTTACTAATAAAAATCGTGCGGCTCCTAAAAGTTACATTGCCTACTGGTGATCATGCTAGAGTTTGTGAGCGGAGGAGGAAAGATTAGGACCAGTACCCCGTCTGGAGTCTGGAGTCTGGTCTTTCTATACCCTGTGCTGCCTGTAGGAGGTGCCATGCAAATTTGGGGGTGCAGGGAGTGGGGACGAAACTTGAGAACAGTGGCACCTGTGGGTAGATTGCCTATTCTGTCTGGTTTCATGCACAGTAGTGTGCCGGCATGCATCGGTGCCCCCTGTCTGGGTGGCTCAGGGACAAGCATCTTTGATGCAGTTGGAGGAAAAGCGTGCAAGACAAGTCCTTCTTGGACCTAGTCACTGTACCTCAGCACAGTGGACACCAACTCGGCCCGGTCCCCGGAGCTGGGTAGAAAATGTTTGCACCCTGCAGCATTTCAGAGGTGCTGGGAGCACCACGCTTGGGTTAACAGCGTGGCTGTTCCGGTCCACAGTTGCTCACTGAGTGAGGTTTCCCTTCTTGTGAGGCCAGCGCTGTCCTAGGGCAGTAGAAGTCACCACCTTCGTCTTCAGGATGCTTACTGTGGAAAGACGAGGCCAGATCACAGGGCGATTGATTAGATGATATGCACGACATATCATGATTGCACGATGATATGCAATGAAGAGTGAGGGAGAATCAGTGGTTGTGCAGGGCCCGAAAAGTTGCTGCCGAGGCCAAGCTGCGTCACGTGCTTAAAAGTGTTGAATTTGAGTTCCTTTAGGTGGGTGGGTGCTTTGCAGTCTGCCACAGTGCCTGTGTAGACGCTGTGTGGCTTATTTCCTCATCTGCCCGGCTGGTTAAGGCGTTTGAACCTGTCACCCCACTGGGCATCCTGGTTTAACGTGAGTCACCAGGAAAGGTTCGCTGAGCACCTGTTATGTGCCAGGCCTTGCACTGGCCCCTGCTTTGGAAGCGACTAAAAAACTCTCCAAGGTGCTCCTTCTAGAAGAAAGTAGTATGGAACACCTGCAGCAGCGGTGCTTTGCCTTTTGTATTGATTCTCCTCCCCGATTTGCCTTCACCTGTGTTGTCATTTTGTCATCAACGTCCTGTAGCCTGGCAGGTCAGGCCGCTTCGTGCTGGGGAACGCGGTTAAGGCATTTTTGTAACTTCTTCAAGTTCACACAGTTGGGATTCTGCTATGCTTAAAATGATTCACGTAGATCATCCCACTTAATATTCACACCCACTTTGTAGAGTAGGGTTGATTTTAACCCCCATTTTTACAGATACAGAAACTGTTGGAGGGGGATCCAAACCCAAGTCTGTCCCACTCCAGAACATAAGCTCCTAAGCACTACGTGACACCGCGTCACTAGCAGGTCACGGTGGAAAGAGGCCTCAAAAACGTCTAGTCTGACCCCCTCACGTAGATCAGGACAAGAGGCCTAGAGAGGCCTGTGCTCGTCACCAATCTGGGCAGTCAGGTCTCCTGCCCTGCAGTGGGGGGAACCTAACCCAGACATGGGGGGGCCAAGACCTTCTTTTGTCCCCAACTGGTGGTGCGGCCTTGCCAGCTTCTCCGGACCTCAGTTCTCCTATTTATAAAATGAGAGGGCTTGGCCTGATTTTACAACACGAACAATGCTGTGTTGTTATGGTGGGTATTGAAGGAGTCGGGCCCATAGCCCGGGATTTCAGCCATAACCCAGGACTCTTCACAGCTCACCACACCCCCTCCCTGCACAAGCTCTGCCGCCCTGTTGCAACCACAGTGGTCTGTTGAGGGGAAACAGTTTCTTAAAGTTCGTCCATATTTTCCATCTCAGCGTCTTGTTTCCAAAAACCAAGGTAAGTGGTCTGCAAACGCTGACCCCCTTCTAAATCCGTCGATGATTATA